AAACTCAAGAGATTCCAAGAAATGAATAAATGTGCATACAATTATTGGGGCTGCAATATAATCCTTGTTCAAATGCCCAACGTGAAATGCTCAATAACCCCATTGAGCATGACAGAGTTCCCAGCTGGTTCCAGAGTACAGAATCTTTTGTATCAATCTCAACAGCTTGAAGATAGCATTGTAAAGCATTTTCATAATAGGCAGAACCTTGTTGAAGAAAAACAGCAGCAAGATTCTTCAGTGCCAAAAATCTGCAGAAAAGCTAAATAAGTGCTGGGTAATAATACCCAAGAACTTTTATCTTAGAATACCCACCCCACTGCCTTCCACTTCTCCCCACCCAAAAAAAAAAAAATTAAAACAGACATTATTGTATACCGTACATGCATAATGCATTGATACCTCTTGCATACAACATTAGAACCAGCTTTACATATCAAGAAACAATAAAGAACAAATTTTGAGTATTTCAGCATTACAATGTGTTTATCACAATGTGCGTAAGAGCAATTTTTGAGTACATTCTAAAATGCTCAAATTCAGAAAAATCCTTTTCTTAATTGATGCTGCCAGACAAAATCTACTTCGTAACTGAACTAGTGATGCCACCAAACAAAATTTATTTTGTAATTGAACTAGATAAACATTAAATTAAATAACATGGATAAGTCAATAACACAACAGGAGCCTATTTTGAGAAGGAGATGCCAGTTCCATACCTAAGCTGTAAAAGATGGCCATCAGTAGAACTGCTATCCACCTAGAAAAGAGGGGGGGAGAGAGAGGGTAATCAAAATATCATAAGTACTGGAAAATATAGAAATTCATAGGCATGAAAGAAAACAAATCATGTACAATACCTTGGCATTTCCAATCAAGGGATCTTTCAAGACAGCCTCTAGAAGTTCACGGGCCTTTTCATATTCTTTAGCTTGTAATTTCAGAAGTCCTTCATGATAAGTTTGTGAAAGATGAAATTCCTGAGACAACCAATGAATGAATCAAATAAGTTGTCTTTATTCAAAAACCACATGCAAAACAGAGAACTAATATAGCTCTATACTGTCTGAATAAAAGAATAGATCAGTTTTAAAGACTGACCTCCAAATAACAGTAACATGGAAATAATCAACAGTTATGTTTTTTTTTTTTTTTTCATTCTGATACTCTTAGCAGTTAGCACCTAATTGAAATATTCCATAATTTTTGGCACAATAACTCCCAAAAACAGTAGCATTTAAAAATTTTCACTCACTAAATATGAAAACTCTTTTACTTTTTTACTTGTTCCCAAAATGTTCCACCAGATCCAAGTATAATTTTCATCATAATCTTTCTGATCTTGCCTACTTTGCCCTCGGAATCATTTATTTCTTTATTATTCCAGAAAATTAATCTCCCCTTTTCGATAAAGGTATCATCATATATTATTTGGTAATTAAAAGACTAAACACTAAGCAGTAAGTCACTCATTCACATGTGGGTATTGTTGTCTGAACCATAGTGAGACTCGTGACAAGCTGGTGTTGCTTTGCATGATTAAGATAGTTGTGGAAGTAAAGGTTTGTGAGTGGAGAAAACTATAGAACTCTTTTATATGACATCCTATGGACCTGCCTTATGCTCACTAAAGGGAGAAAATCTGGAGCAAACAATTTGGTAGAAATGTGCAATTTTACAAGTATTTAGTCTATCAGGTCACAGAATAACATAAGCATTTTCCAAATCCAGGCATTTCTGTTGCGTCTTCTATTGGATAGAATGGCTTGGTGTCTAGTTATAAATCACCTTCCTTTCATTCTTTCATTTCTATTGCTTGGATTATAAAAACAAAAATAGAATAACTTTATCATAAGCTTTCTCATAATGCAAAGCTATGATAAAAGGACAGCCAACCCTAGTACACAAGAGTCGGTGTCAATCACTATACTAAACATAACCTTCATACATATGCATAAAATATATTTTATGTTCTAAAACTAATTGATTGTCTTCTCAATGTCTTCAGCGTTGCCAGTTTTCCACAGGTTGCCTACTTAGTAACTGGAGAGTTCTCCTAGCTCTTTGCAAAACTAGAAAATAGAGTTTTTTTTTTTTTTTTTTTTTTAATTCAAATTGAACCTTTTTCTGAATTAGAAAATAGAAAATGTTCAGAAACTCCATTTTCACCTTAACAAAGGAATTTAAATAACACTAATATGTTTTCCCAATTTTTCCAAATACAAAAACATACATGAGCCTTCTCTCATGATTACCAACCCCACCGAACTTACCTACTCCACCCCAGCTACCTATTCCGCCACTGCCACCTGCCTTACTGCCTACGACCACCAACACTACCATTATTATCCTCTACCACTCATATTGGTACATTTATATGAATAAAACAATTAGATTTTGAATAACTTCATCATATTTTATAAAGTGGGAAAAAATTGAATTTGAACATGTTTTCTAGTTTTCCAATGGAAAATAGAACTAGGAAATTTTTAGAAAAGGGGAGATGGGTAATGGAAAACATTTTTTGTAACTAAACATATAGTGGTTTCCAAATTCCATTGTTAAGGTGGAAAATAGTGTTTTCCATTTTATATTTTCCAATTCAGAAAACAAATTATTTTGGACATGAAACTTTGTTATTTGGGCACATCCAGAAATCAAGAGAGGCAGATTAAGAGGGGTAAAAATTGATCTTTTGACAATCATCAAAATGGACTTTGCCCATCTAAATTCACTTTTTTGGCACCTTACCACCTTAATCTTCTTTTTAGTCACTTAAACCCCCACCCTTTAAACAATCTCATCTATTTTTTGGCAATGGAGAAGGAGCAACTCTAAGAAAGTACTCCATTGCTTTTCTTAGCATAATTCAACAAAAAATACAAATTTAGAAACTCCAAATAGATTTAAGGATGAGATCACAAAACGACTTGAATGGACCCAAGTCAGCTCTCCCTGTGATGATCAATCTTTTGGAATATGATTCCAAGGAGCTGCTTTCATCATTGCATTTTTTTTAATTTAATATATGATGCATTCAAAATTAGTAAAGCTCGGGAAGAGATTTTGCATATGATTCAATCATTGAAAAAAAAATAAAAAAAATACAATCTAGGTATGTTAACAGACAGTTTTAGCATAAACTACAAACACTTCTAAAGAGAGATATTACAATTCACATTGAGGTTAGAAAAGAAAAAAAAAAAAAAAAAAAAAACTTTAATCTCAACAATTCAAAGCACTTCGCCATTCATATATATTCACATAATAAAAATATATGAAGCAATTATGTAGAAAAGAGTAACATAATTTACCTGGGCTTCTTTTGTTGGAGCTAGGGGTTCCCATTTGGTTCGAGAATCTGTATCATTTATCGCTGAGATGGAGAACTGAAAAACCCAAACAAAGAAGGGGAAAAAAAACACAGATAAAAGACCACATTATACTGAAGATAAATTCACTGAAATAGAATCACAGGCTCAACTACTCGCCGCAACTCACCATCCTTCCAGAATTCTTACGACTAACGTTGAGTTGAACCGTTCGAGCTAGCGGTTTCGCTATGATTTCTTCTCCATTCTGAATATTTTTAGCGGGGTTTAGAAGCCTGAGACAGTGAGACGTAATTCTCGATTCTGAAGATTTTTTTTTTTTTTTTTTTTTTTTTTTTTGTATTTTAGCCTTTTCGTTTTTAAATGGTATTGCCAAAAAAATTTTAGTATAAAATTATATGACCATCAAGGCGTATCAAACCTAGTATTTGGAATGTAGGATGTCAAATTTAAAGGTGTATTCAATTCACAATACTTATGCTATGGAACTGTGTTCACCATGTGTATGGTAAACACGGAATAGATCCATAATTTCTAAGTTGTAAATTTATAATTTCTATATTGTAGATTTATAACATTTATATTATAGATTTATAATTTTTATATCGTACTATAGATTCATAATTTTTATACTGTAGATTCATAATTTCTGTATTGTAGATTTATAATATCTGTATTGCGAAGACGAAATAATGCGATTGCGAAGAGAGAAACGTCGTTAACAACAAATGAAAAACAAAATTATGAATCTACAGCATAGAAATTATGGATCTACCCCTGTGTTCACCATGCACATGGTGAACACGTTTCCACATCATAATTTGAGTTCAATTCATACTTCTGTAAATTTTAAAAGACTTTTTTTTTTTTTAAAATCAAACATGGTAAATTTTTATATGGGGCAAAAATTTGTGTGAGACTGTCTCACAGTCTTTGTCCGTGAGACGAATCGAACTAAGATGAAAATGTAATAGAGTAAATACCAGTCATGGTCCCTCGAGTTTGGTGGTTTAGCCACATATAGTCCTAAACTTTCATAATGTCATCCGTGGTCCTCCGAATTTCGAAATTTGACCAGCTTTTGTCCTCCTGTTACTTTGTTCCGTCTGCGCCGTCTAAAGCAGGGATAGAATAGTAATTGTATACATCCACAACTGACAACACGACAAAGCAAACAAAAACATATATGTTTATGGATATGTTCACACGCAAAGCAAACATGTTGAAAGCGACAACACATGACTCTAATTGTGGACTCGGCATAAATAAAGCAAAAAAAAAAAAAAAAAAAAAAAATCTTTCGCTATTTTGGAGCGGTCTCCTCTATCGACGAACGCTGTGAAGGCGGCCACAGTTGCTATGGAGAAGAAAGAGACAGGCTCCGGTGACGGTTCACCGGCGACCTTTGTTTCATAGACGAACGTAGCAACAGAGGCATGCCGGAGCAACACCCTGCGGCGACGACTTTCCGATGATGGTGGCCGGCAGTGAGGGTCAGAGAAATAGACAATGATAGAATACACATCTGGAGTGAAAGATATGTGGCAATCTTTTTTCCTTTCAAACAATAAGCGAATTCATTTAATGATTTTAATCTGTCCCTTGTTTCCCTATGAAGTTTGGTGGGTTGACCGCTCTGAATAGCACTTTTTTTAGGCTCCCAGTAATATGATTGCAACCAATGAAGTGCCCATATCGACGATTTTCCCCAATCCATCTTCGATTTTCTTTTCCGACGCTGGCAGCCGGTGGTCGTCTCCGCCTTCCCGAGACGATCATGGTGACGGGTGACCCTCCCCCGGAGCTTCCTGAAACTGACGAGTGGCAATCCAACTGCCTTGAAGAATTGCGCAACGCTGGATTCTCGATTCTCCCCTTAGCGATTACACAACTGCTGTAACACCCCACTTTTCTTAAACTTAATTAAAGTTCTAAAACCAAATTAAGATAAACTAAGCAACGGAAAAAATCAAACTTAATTAACAAACTTAGTGGGAATGTCAGCGCCACAACCACCTTCCCACGGTGATTGCACAGGCTAAGGGTAAAACTAAACATCAAGTCAAACTAACATCCGAAATTTACTACATTAAAGTAACTTGGAGAAAAGCACCCCGGTGTCTATCACCAACAAAACAAAAGGTGCCTACATCCATAATCTCAAAAACAACGATAAAAGACCAAAGAGTTTAGACTACATAGCAACTAACTACACTAGTCTAACTCGAGCACTCTTAAATCTGGGCGCACCTGAAAGGGGTTTTGCAAATAGACAAATAGAAAACACACGTTAGCACGATGATAAATATAACCACACTCAACCCTGTAAAATACTACAGTATATACTTTGGAAAAACATTTGTTCACATCCTCAAATTAAGCAATCACTTAGACAAAACCTTGATATAAACCACAAAGCATTCTATGTGCTCACAACCTAAAACATCAAATAGGCATACTTCAACGATATCAACCTGACAACATGCTCATACTATCGCATACATAACATAGCAAATCTCAATTCTGTATAACATTTCAATAACCATCTCATGCTAACACATAAACTTATCAAGCAATCTCGTGCTATCAATCAATAAGAAATTATTCTCATGCTTTCAAGTTCTCATCATGCAAACTAGAAATATCATACATCAATATGCAACTAAGGCAATCATACTCAATATACAATCTCGGGTAATCATTCTCAATATGCAATCTAGTGCAAACATTCTCATTATGCAATCTCGTGCAAACATTCTCATTATGCAATCTCGTGCAAACGTTCTCATTATGCAATCTCGTGCAATACTATACTTAAATGCAATCTTGTGCAATACTATACTCAAATGCAATCAGATGCAATAGGATAAATATACTTATACACTCGTTTGTAAATAGAATACTTTTATGTGGAGGTTTCTTAGAGTCACAATGACTCGCTTTCTTTCTCTTGAGTCTCTTGACTCGATTTCTTTCTTGCTCAAACTTTCTCATACTTCTCGTTTCTCTTCTTGTGCGAGGCAGATACTCCGCCGCAGTGAAGCCCTAGCGTACGGTGCAATCTCGTGCATCCGCCACATCCGTAACTACGAAACCTCTAACTCGTGGGGAGGTAGGTCTTCACGAATCGTGAATGGACCTAACCGGCTTGGCAATCTATCTGGCCACATACTCAACTCGCCCACAGAACCACTCTCTTGGTTCTATATCTTTCTTTCTTGCTTACTTTCTTTGTGGTTCTATATATATATATATATATATATATATATATATATATATATATATATATATATATATATATATATATATATATATATATATATATATATATATATATATTGGATCCAATGAGACCCCTAGTTAGGTGAGATGGTGAGATGAGATCCTGAGCATTCATTTTTTGTTTATTTTAACGGTTCAGATTTCAGGATTTTTTTTATTTGTAAATGGCTGATCTGTAATATACTTTGGGTAGTTGAGCAATTTTGCACACGTATTTAATTCTTTCCTTATCAAAATCTGTGATATTTTATTTGTTTCCTTGTGCGTATGTTTTTCTTCAACGCCAAGAGTCGCAGCTGCTCTGCCTCTTCTCGGTTTTTCTTCTTCCCGAGTGTTGCAGCTGCTACCTCTGCCTCGCCACTGCCATCTGCGCCTGCACCTCTGCCTCGCCACCGGCCACCAGCTTCCCGGTCTCCGTCTTCGCTCTCATCCCGCCTCAGTCGCCGATCGTGAGCCGCCTCCGTCTTCACCACTGTCCAGTCACAGCCTCGCCTCAGGTTCGTAGTCTCGTTCTCAACTTCTCACCCCTTGTGCTATAAATCTTAATTTTAATAATTTGTTCAATTGTTTGCCCTAAGCTTTGAGTTTTGAAATCTGATTTTGCCATAATTTCCCTAATTTTGGGGTTTCCCTAATTTTCCTATGATAGATGAGAGCTAACTGGTGAGGATAGAGAGATTAGAGGGATAGGTGATGTACTAAAGTTAGTTGTGCACAGCAGCACAGCACATTGCACTTCAGCACTTTTTTTTTGAGTTTTGATGTTAGTTGCTGGTTTTGCAGTGCTAATTTGCTATAATATTGTTATTTCTTACAGATTAGATCTGCACCACCTCTCATGGGGAGAAAAAAAAAATTATGTTTAACATAATATTTTTCACCATGGGGAGAAATTTCTCGCCACCGGCTTGATAGAAAGAAAAAAAAAACAAGAAAAAAAAAGAAATCTGATTTTTGTTTTATTATTATTAATAGCAGTAATTGGGAACATTAAAGAGAGTGTAGTATGCTCACGTTTCAATGTGCTGGGGATGGCTCTCTATTATGTGCTTGATATCATTTATGGTGGTGAGAAGTGTGTTTTTTAGTAGTTAGGTGTGTGCTTAGAGTTTACCACAAATGCCTCTCTAAGCCCTATATAGGCCAATATGCATACATCGCTTTATATTAACTTGAGGACATCTAGATTTTTGTAGTCAATACATCATTTATTACTGAAAGTAAATTTTACTTCGCAGAGCATATTGCCATTGGCATGTATTATCTCAGTTTGTCACTAACTCTTTGTTAGACGTTGGCAAGTAAGGGCCAAGTCCAGCACCATGTGGCTAGGGAGATTGTTGGGCGGAGGCTAGTAAAGGGCAAAGTTCAGCCCCTTGCCGTTTTTGACATAGTGGTAAGCGCTTAATCCTAAAAATGTACTTGAAAAATGCAGCTTTTTATCCCATTTAAAGAGTAACTACAACAACGAACTACTTTATGTTTTCTTCCCAAACCCCATGCAAGCACATCTTGAATTGTCTGCATTATGGGAAAACTCTCAAACCTACATTAGAAAGCCATATAAGTAACTGCCTTGCACTTAAACAATGAAAAAAACCATTATCTATGCTTCATAAACATAATGTACTCATCCCGGAGAAGTTACTTCTTGAGTATTTGTTTACCTTGTTTGGGCAAAATAACTAGTTTCGATTTTAAGTTCTAGTTGCATCCAAATGGTAAAACAAAAACAAAAGGACTAGGGTTCTGAGGAGAGCAAGAGAAGGCAAAAAAGACTGTAGATTTTGGGGTGTTTTTCCTTCTGCGACTATCTTTCATTTTAGCTTAATTGGTGGTTTTTTTGCATTGTATTTTCCTAGTTGCTTAGAGTGAACCACAAATTCAGTGCGTGCATTGTATTTAGTTGGTTTGAGCACTCAACTCTTTTGCTCTTGTTTATCTGTACATTTTTTGCTTTTTTTTTTTCCTTATTTTAGTAATATGATAAGCAATTTTAAATGATGGATCTGTATGCTGTCAAAGGAATGCTATTCGTGACATTGGACTTGGGGACATCTTGAACTTGCAGGTTGAGGATATTCCAAAGCGTATGGGGATGTGTTTGCAGGTCGTAGATAATTGCATGTTGAGCCTATACTTCTCGGATTAGATGTGATTATATTACCTACGCTGTTCTGTGCATTGGTGTTGGATGGTGTGTGCAAATTACTAGGTGATGTGTGACATTGTTGTGCAATAATATTTTTAATGTACTGAAAATATTGTTTGGGTATTAGATGTGTGCGTCATAGTGGCAGAGTGTGTGCGTTACATTTATCAGCTGCTTAATTTTATTCGATTTTTAATTTTTGGTGTTGTGTATTACGATGAAAAGTTATGAAGGAGGTATGTACGTTTCAAAGTATAAGTTTGTGCTTTCGGTGTGGGTTGCATATTTTAGTGTGTGCGTTAGAGGAGTTTCCAGTTTGCATTTATGGTTTTTTTTTTAAAAAAAAAAATTAAATTTTTTTGTTATTGTGATGTACCCTAAATATTAATAGGGTGTTGGGTGTGTGCGTCATAGTGCGGAGTGTGTCCATGAATGCAAATGTCAGAATTATTGTCTTAAAGAGTCAATGGTTTATATTAAGGCTATGAGCAAATGTTTGTAGTATGCTAGTTAATCTAGTCAAGTGCAATAAATAATACATTCTTTTTTACTATAGTCTATTGTTACTTTGTGTTTCTTGTTATATTTGTTTCTTTAAGTTGTTTTTTGGTCTATTACATTGTAACGCACACACCAAACTCCGTGCATGCACACTCATGGTCATTTCATTCATTTGCTTTATGAAATGCACGCTCCTGTATACGCTCATGAGCACACTCGTGAACGCACACACGTACCCCCATGTTTGCACATGCCATTGAGTAGTGTAATACAACTAACAACACAAATAACAATGTTGGTGCATCACTTAGTCACATGTAAAATTCTATACATGTTAAAAAAAAATTGGTAATTCATCCTACAATTATCATATTTCATTTCGACATATTCTCTTTCTTTTTTAATCTCGCATGCAGATTTTTGTTCCTAAGGGGTATGCATACTTTTATTTTCTTATTGTTAGGAATATAGCGGAAGCGAAGAATCGAAACTTGAGAATTATAGAAGTTAAATAATATAAATAGGGAAAATATATAAATGACAAATAAATAGAATATTGAGAATATATATATATTATATTATCACTCAAAAGAGGATTAAGGAAATTAATATAATATATATATGTATGCTACGTGAGAATAAAGAGAAAGAAAGAGAATTCAATTTGGTGTATATTGATGTATGAATGAGTGTTTATTACAAAGCAAATATTACTGCTATTTATACAATCAAAAGTGAACTAGAATTAAGCAGCAAGCACGGATGAGAGCCAACTTCGGAGAAATGTGCTACACGTACATGCATGCGAAGCGGATGATTGTCTTCATAGAATTGAATGGATTTTGAGCCACATATTTTATATTTTATTTTTCTAACAATCTCCACCTTGGATCAAATCCATTGTGGAATTAACAATTGAAACAGTCCGACTAAACTCAAGTACTACTTGAACTTAGCAACAGGAAGAACCTTAGAATAGCAGGATGGATCACCATCAACTTCCTGTGTGACTGAAAGAGCATAAGCAACCATGTTGGTTTCATCATCACTAGCATACCTAGCAGGTTTTTTAATTGTCCTCCTAGGACGATCCATAGCAATGGAATACTCTCGTTGTGGCTCGACGAGAGGTGTTGTGCTAGTAGATGCATCATCTTTAGTATTACCATCAGCAGTAGTAACACTATCAATAGGCCTGAACTCAAACTCCACCTTCTCACCAGTACTCTGCGTCTCACCTGTACTGGGAACTTTTCCAGAAGAAAGTAGTGCATTTTCGTCAAAAGTGATATCTCGACTCAGAATGATTTTCTGAGAATCAGGAGACCATAGACGATATCCTTTTGACTCAGAGGCATAACCAAGGAAAATGCATTTGACCGCTCTCGGGTTTAATTTACCCGTATTGGAATGAGCATAAGCAGGACATCCAAAAACTCTTAAGATAGAGTAGTCAACAGGATTACCTGACCAAACTTCCTCTGGAATTTTGAAGTCAAGGGATGAATGTGGAGATCTATTCACCAAATAGCAAGCAGTAGAAACGGCCTCGGCCCAGAAATCACGCCGTTTCCATAACCCAGCATTAGAGAGCATACAACGAGCTCTTTCCAATAATGTCCTGTTTAGACGTTCAGCAACACCATTTTGCTGGGGTTTACCAGGCAAGGTCTTGTGCCTGGCGATTCCATTTGCCGCACAGAAGTCATTGAAATCTGACTCACAGAATTCCAAGCCATTGTCTGTCCTGAGCTTCTTGACCTTTTTCCCTGTCTGAGTCTCAACAAGTATTTTCCACTTTTTGAAAATAGGAAAAGCCTGATTTTTGTGTTTCAAGAAATAGACCCAAACCTTACGGGAAAAGTCATCAATAATAGACATGAAATATCTACAGCCTCCCATAGACTGGAATTTAGTCGGTTCCCATAAATCGGAATGTATATATTCCAATACGTCTTTGGTACGGTGTGTAGCAGTAGAGAAACTAACCCTTTTTTGTTTCCCAAAAACACAATGCTCACAAAATTGTAATTTACCCGTACCTAAACCACCAAGGAGGCCTTTTTTGCTCAGGAGATGCATGCCTTTCTCACTCATATGCCCCAGACGCATATGCCATAATTGAGTGAGATCCACATCAGACATCGATGAGGATACCGCTACTGAACCCGTCACAGTACTGCCATGCAAAACGTACACGCTTCCAGATCGAGAAGCTTTCATGAGAACAAGAGAGCCTTTTATAACTTTCAAAACTCCACCTTCAGCTATGTACTTGTACCCCAGAGATTCCAAGGTGCCCAACGATATCAGATTGCGTTTCAAATCAGGAATATACCGAACATTGGTAAGAGTCCTGATAACGTTATCATGAGTTTTAATCTGCACACTTCCAATTCCACTAACCTTGCATTGGGTATCATTACCCATCAAGACAACTCCACCATCAACCGGTTCCAGAGAAATGAACCAATCTTTGTGGGGACACATGTGGAATATACAACCAGAGTCCAAAATCCACTCGGTTTCACTCCGTTTCTCACCGGAGCTAACAGATAACAACACATCACCATCTGAATCACTTTCAACAACACTAGCTTCAACGGACTGCTTTTCTCTCTCTTGCTTGTTTTTCAGCTTGAAGCATTCAGTCACATCATGACCATGCTTCTTGCAGTACTTACAGGATTTGTTGGACTTATGTCCTTTGGACTTGGATCTAGAATTTTTATTGCTACTCCCTGATTCAAGTGAACGACCCCTTACAATCAAGCCTTCACCTTTGTCCTCAGACTTAATTTCAAAGTCAAACTTTTCTTTGGACAATAGGTTCGACTTAACATTGTCGAAAGTAAGGGTATCACTTCTATTACCATACAGCATAATTTCTTTGAAATGCTTGTATGAATTAGGGAGAGAGACAAGCAATAAAACAGCACGATCCTCATCTTCAATTATGACATCAATATTTTCCAAGTCCAATAAAATAGAATTGAATTCATCTAAGTGAGATTTAATAGAAGTACCTTCCGTCATACGGATTGTGTACAGACGCTCCTTCAAACGCAGCGTGTTTGCCAGAGTTTTGGCCATGTAAAGCGTATCCAGCTTGGACCATAAATCTAACGCAGTCGTCTCACTTACTACCTCACGTAAAACCTCTTTAGACAGACACAAAAGAATGGTTGAACGCGCCTTGTCATCCAAATCTTCCCAAGTTTCATCTGTCATTGTAGCTGGTTTCTTCTTCTTACCAGCTAGAGCTTTCTTCAAACCGTTCTGGGTTAGAACGGCTTCCATCTGAACCTTCCAGATAGAAAAGCTAATTTTTCCGTCGAACTTCTCGATATCGAACTTGGTAACAGTCGACATCTTTGAAAATAACTCTCAATTAAACCGCTCTGATACCACTTGTTAGGAATATAGCGGAAGCGAAGAATCGAAAATTGAGAATTATAAAAGTTAAATAATATAAATAGGGAAAAATATATAAATGACAAATAAATAGAATATTGAGAATATATATATTATATTATCACTCAAAAGAGGATTAAGGAAATTAATATAATATATATATGTATGCTACGTGAGAATAAAGAGAAAGAAAGAGAATTCAATTTGGTGTATATTGATGTATGAATGAGTGTTTATTACAAAGCAAATATTACTGCTATTTATACAATCAAAAGTGAACTAGAATTAAGCAGCAAGCACGGATGAGAGCCAACTTCGGAGAAACGTGTTACACGTACATGCATGCGAAGCAGATGATTGTCTTCATAGAATTGAATGGATTTTGAGCCACATATTCTATATTTTATTTTTCTAACACTTATTAATTTCAATTTTTTATTAGGTTTGTCATACGCCTATACAAAAATCATATTCATATAGTTGGGTTATGTTGGTTACGTAATTCCAATAAACTTGCACAATCTTAAAAATAAAAAAAAATCCACGCTCACTGTTGCAATGCTTACCTAAAGACACAGTGGTTATGCACATGCTAGATTCAACGCAACCACATCCCATCACAAAAAATAAAATAATAATAAATAAATAAAATCCAACATGATGCAATGTTCCATTGCCAGAAGTATGTGCACGCCATACCATACAAATGCACACATCACTGTAAAAAAAGAATAAAAATAAAACAAAAAAAATTATACAAAATTTCATTGCCAGGCTAACGCACATGCACCACCAATTCGTGCACACAAATGCACACACCACCGTAATAAAAAAAAATGACATGATGCAAAAGTTCAATTGTCAAACATTTGCATACCCATACCATACAAATGCACACACCACCATAAAAAATAAAAATAAAACAAAAAAATTTAATCAAAATTTCATTGTCAGGCTAAAGCACACGCCACCACCAATTCGCGCACACAAATGCACACACTGCACACACCGTAACACATACACGCACACACTAGCGCCAAAAAAAAAAAGAGGATCATATCAACACATCCGAATAATACCCTTTCTGTCTATTTCATTCAAAACAAACTAACAATTTCATTCCACGCATACCCCTAATAATAAATCTGTGTACAAAAATGAATTATCAGAAGTTGCAAACTCCTTTACCCCACAATTTGCACTCATCATACCACAGTAACGCACACACTTCAAATGTTATAAAACACATACCGACATAAAAAACATCTATATATATTCACCCC